GGATCCCTGCACTGAGAAGCTTCTAGAACCACGAGACAGAGAGAGAGAGAGAGAGAGAGAGAGAGAGAGCGAGAGAGAGCGAGAGCGAGAGCGAGAGAGAGCGAGCGAGCGAGCGAGAGCTGTAACATGGAAGATGGCGAGAAGCAGTGGCAGGAGAGACCGGCAAGAGACGGCACAGTGGGCTTCCTGGCCTACAGAGCGAGAAAGCTGAGTGCCTTTGGGCCAAGGCTTGCTGGCGGAGTAGGGTGCTTCTGGGCACTTATTGGCAGAGCTAAAAGAGCTTTGTAACACTTGCCTGAGAAGGGCAGAGGCCGAGGGACCAGAGAGAGGCGTGCCTGCAGCATGGCTGGGAAGAGGCTGTCCTGATGGAAGAGCTGTATCATAAGCATTCCTCAACCTGAATTGTAAACTGTTACTTGCCTAATAAACCCCATAATCGTGAGTATTGTCTGTGAGTTCTCTGTGGCCATTGCAATGAATTAAAATCTAGCAGAGAAGTAGAGAGTGCTGTGGGAGGGATGTTGGTGTCAGCATTGGTGAAGATGTCAGAGAGAGGAGGTATGTCTGACCTCCGCCTCATAGGAATCAGCTTTGGGCTGTTGATCTTGATTCTCCTTCCCCCTTGTGAAGTAAGAGGAGGTCAAATTCCTCCCCCATGCCATTTTTACACTGTAAGTAGGTACATGGACATTTAAAATTATTTGTTCAACTAATTTACTTTTTATCATTTTATAGTGACCCCCCAATTTTGTATTGTTGTTGATGATATACACAAATTCAACAATTTCTACATGTACAATTCAGTGACATTGGTACATTTTTCAAGTCGTGCAACCATTCTCACCTCTTCCAAATTGTTCTCCTTTATTAGCATAAATTCACTGCCCCCTAAGTTTATTATCTTACCTTACGAGTTGGTGTAGTCAGTTTCATCCCATACAGATAATTCTTTAAAAGAGCACCAATGCTCAAGGCATGCATTCTTTACTAATTGAGCTAACCTATTGTTTGGTTTAAAGAAGACTTCAGGGATATTTTTAGTTTAAGGTTTAAAGATTATCTCAGGACAATAGTTTCGGGGCTCCCCATTAAAAAAATATCCTGTTATTGCTTTTTTATAGTCTGTTTTGGCTGATAGTAATAAAGGCTGCACCATCTTTTTTCTTTTTTTTTTACATTCAACTTCTGTCTTTATGTTTTAAAGGACTGTTTAAAGGGCATAGCTGTAATTTGTTTAATTATTCTCTTAATCCATCCTGAAATTTTTACAGTGTTTTTATCTCTTTATTCCTGTTTGTCCTGTTTCCTCTGTGATCCATTTCTCTTTTGCTTGCTTCTTTTTGGCTAATTATTAAGACAGGCACCCTATTTTTTTCCCTCTACTATTTTGGAAATTGCACACTATTTCTTTAGTAGTGTCCTTGACATTTCAACATGCGCAGTTAATGTCTAAAGGTAATCCAAATATTTATTCTTCTCCTGGATAATATAAAGATTTTAAAACATTTAACTTATTACTATCTTCTGTCTTACATGTTTTTATGGTCTTTAATTATGTTAGTTCTGATTTTTTTTTATCTCTGAAATAATGATTGTCTTATACAATCAGTATTTCTGTGGATTTATCCATATGTTTACCAATCTCTGTGCTCACCAAGCCTTTTGCTATGTCAGACCTAATTTTGTTTTTTATGAAGTATATCCTTAAGAAGTTCAGTGTTTTGTTTGAAATTTTACTGTAGTCTGATTGTAGTTCCTTTGTAAGTAATCTGAATTTTCACTTCAATTATTTTTATTTTACTCTTTGGTATTCTGAAGTTTTATTATATGTCTAGGCATGGATTTATTTTGATTCATCCTGCTTGGACTTTTTGTGCTTCCTGAATCTAATGATTTCATTTCTGTCCACAGTTATGGAAGACTCTTGAACATCATCTCTTTGAGCATAACCTTTCACACATTATCTCTTCTGTCTTTCTGAGATTCCCATTAGAAATATATCAGACCTTTCCTTATTCTGCTCTCTTTATCTCTTATCCTCTTTCATGTTAACCTTATTTTTTCACTCTAATCTTAATTCAGATCTATATTCCAGTTTGCTGATTTTTGCCTGAGCTTTGTATCTAATTTGCTGTTTTACGTATCTGTCCATTTAAATCTGTATGAATCCTGAAATGCCTGGGTTCAGGATATCTCTCCAACTTGGGATTACTTTAACATTTCAGAATGTGGTTTCCTGAACCATTCTAATGGTATACATTTGAACTTCAAACACCCATGAAGACACAGCTATGTTTATAAATTCTCGAGGGAGCCTTTGCTCTATCCCCACACCCAGCCAGGGCACATAAAGACAGTTAACCTAGTCATCTTATCTTCTTTTGCCAGCTGATAGATTTTCTTTCTAACCCACCGAAAAGGCGAATGTTGTAGCTTTCAAGGACCCTGGCTTTATTCGGAAAGCTTAGTTCCAACACCTCATCTTCTGCAGGCCCACTGGGGAGTTTCAGGGACATCAGTACTTCTAATATTTCTTTCTTCCTCTTTGGTTTTGTCCCTAGCAGATTTCCCTTCTCTTTTTATAAGCTAAGCTCTGCATTTAAAATGACAATTTTTTGTAGTTTATCTAGCGTATGGTGGTGGTTTTCTAAATATCCAGCCTTCCATGTTTCTGGAAGTAGCTCATGTCTTCTTAGGAAGATGGGGAAAAAAAAAGGCTTTATGGTATCGAAGGGACTTTTGTAACTTATCTCCTGTTAATAGGGAGCCCCAGTGGTGCAGTGGGTTACATGCTCCATTGCTAATTGAAAGGTCAGCTGTTTGAGGCCAGCAGCTACACTGCAGAAGAAAGTTGCAGCAGTCTGCTTCCAAAAAGATTACAGCCTTAGAAACACTACGGGGCAGTTTTTGTCTGTCCTGTAAGGTCACTATGAGTCAGAATTGACTAGACGGCAACGGGTTTGGTTTGGTTCTCCTGTTAATTTTATTTTTGGCCAATATTTTATTTCGTGATCTAAACAAGAGTTGTCTATCATAGGCATTCAGCAGTCAGTCCTGAATATTTTCAGTTTATAGTAAATTTCAGGTTTAAGGGAAGCTGAAATAATTCTGTAAAGAAAACAGTAAGGAAAAGATATTGATTTCATGAATTCATCTAAAATAACTGGCTTGTTAATTCAGCTTTTAAATGTAGTGATTTTTTTTTCCTATAGATTTGTGGTTTACGGTGATTCTTATATGAGAGATTTAGGAAGTAAAAAATCATTCCTTTTTTTATTCAGCTATATCAGTGATTTTGACTCTCAACAGGGGTCGATTTTGCCCCACCCCCAGGGGACATTTGGCAATACCTGGAGACATTTTTCGTTGCTACAACTGGAGGGGAGAGTACTACTAGCATATACTCAGTAGAGGCCAGGGATGCTGCTAAACTTCCTAGAATGCAGGAGGGCCCCCATAACAAAGAATTATCAACAGTGCAAAGGTTGAGAAACCCCAAAAGGTCCTATATATAAAAGGATCTGTAACCTTCTGAGTCACCTAGCTGAATTGTTAAGTCTTATAAATGTAAAGTATACTTTCCATTAAAATTATTCAGAAATTCACAACACATATACTTATTTTCTTAACAATTCTAGGTATACGTATTATAGATGAAAAAATATTTAGGGTAGCAAATTTATCTCTCTGATTATCCATAAATAAGGTGCTGAGTTGGAACCATGGAGCCACTGAGAGATGAACAAGGTGGCTTAATTTATGATTTAGCTTTGGTAAATAAATCATTCTTGTTTCCTGATAGTGATATTATTAATCTAAAAGTTTCAGCCCTTTAAACCATATGGTGTAGGTGCACCTTTCAAAAAAAAAAAAAAAAAAGAATCCTACATCTGTAGAGTTCCATATGAACACTTCCATATCCTGAAGAAATAAGGTAAAAAAATAAAAGTTACCGTTTTTCTAAGGGAGAGAAAACACATAGAAATCTTTCTAACAAGTGATTTAATCATGACATAATCAGTTGGTTTTTAAATAATCTACATTGCTTTGTTATTTTACTATACATGTACTTACTGATTTTTGTTTATGTCATGAAAATGAAAGATTAATAATATTGCTCGTTGTGATCTTATTGTAATACTTTTTTTCCCATTATTTTTTTCTTTAATGATTATTTTTCTTTTTAATTTAAAACCCTTTATCTTAAAATAATTTTAGATTTAAAGAAAAGTTGCAAAAATAGTACAGATAATTCTCATGTACTGTTTACTAATCTTCCCCTAATGTTAACATCTTACATAGCCATAGTATAATTATCAAGAAAAGGAAATGAACATTGGTATACTTTTATTAATTAACTACATATCTTATTTGGATTTCACCAGTTTTTCCATTAATGTACTTTTTCTGTTCCAATATCCAGTCCATGATCCCACATTGCATTTAGTCATCATGTCTCCTTCAGTTTCCTCCAGCCTGTGACAGTTCCTCAGTCTCTTCTTGTCTTTCATGGCCTTGACTCTTTTGAAGAGTACACTGTTGAGTTATATTGTAGAATGTCCCTCATTTTGGGTTTGTCTGGTATTCTCTCTTGAGTAGATAAAGGTTATCTTTTTGGCAGAACACCATAGAAGTGATAGCATACCCATATTCTGTGCATCAAATATCAGAAGGTACAGTAAATGGTGTTGATAAGTCTTATTGGTGCTGTTAACCTTGGATAAGGTGGTACCTGCCAGGTTTCCTGACTGTGAAGTTACTATTTTTTCCCTTTATGTAATTAATAAATATATTTCTTCCCATTAATTTAAGGTTTTTTTTTTTTTAATGGAAAGCAAGTGTAGAAGAGGCACAAATTGATCTGTTTCCTCAAAAACTTTTTGTATAGTTAGTGTAAATAACATTATCTTATCTGATAAATTTTATTATTTTAATTTCTTGTTTACAGGTAGTCATATTGGGGAAATGGGTTTTTTGAATATCCTTAACATATGTTTTATAACACTTATTTAACTTGAAATTTGCTGCCAGAGAACTTAATAGAAATGCCAAGAAATGTGATAAAGAAGAAAAGGCTGAAAAGGCCAAGATTAAAAAGGTAAACCATTTTTAGATTTTTTATTTTTAACTTATGTTAGTGCTTTCATTTTGATATCTTTTTTTTGTGTGTGTTGTTGACAGTTTCTTTGTTCCACTTAATTTTCTGTGCTGAATCGTTTTTGCGTATTTTCTTTTCATCTTTTTCACTGTCATTGATTTTGTATTTGCTGAGTCTTTGTATTTTTCTGTTTTTTATTTTGATGTGTAGGATTGTTAGTTTCCCTTGTGGTCACCTTAATATTTACCCCTATTTTTCTAAGTTTAAACCAGTCTTATTTCTTTATATTGCCTTGACTTCCTCTCCATATGAAAAATCTATGACTACATTTTTTAGTCCTTCTTTTTTGTTTTAATATTGTCATCTTTTATATATTGACATCTCTGTTTCCCTGTTTTCAGTGCTTGGCTTTGATTTATTTTTGTGACTTCCCTATCTGGGTTAATATCTGGTTGCTCTGTCCTGTGTTCTAGTCTTGGGTTGTTATCTGATGTTATTGATTGTCTAACCGAAGGGCTCCTTTTAGTATTTCTTGTAATTTTGGTTTGGTTTTTGCAAATTCCCTAAACTTCTGTTTATCTGGAAATGTCCTAATTTCGCCATCATATTGGAGAGACAGTTTTGCTGGATATATAATTCTTGGCTGGCAATGATTTTTCTTTCAAGGCTTTATGTATGTCATCCCATTGCCTTCTTGCCTGCATAGTTTCTGCTGAGTAGTCCGAGCTTACTTTTATTGACTCTTCTTTGTAGATGATTTTTCGTTTATCCTTAGCTGCTCTTAAAATTCTCTCTTTATCTTTGGTTTTGGCAAGTTTGATTATAATATGTCTTGGTGACTTTCTTTTGGGATCTACCTTATGTCAGGTTTGATGAGCATCTTGGATAGACATCTTCTCATATTTCATGATATCAGGGAAGTTTTCTGCCAACAAATCTCCAACAATTCTCTCTGTATTTTCTGTTATCCTCCCCCTTTCTGGTACTCTAGTCACTCATAGGTTATTCCTCTTGATAGAGTCCCACATAATTCTTAGAGTTTCTTCATTTTTAAAAATACTTTTATCTGATTTTTCCTCATAAATTGGTGTCAAGTGCTTTATCTTCCGTCTCACTGATTCTGACTTCTATGGCCTTAATTCTGCTCCTATGACTTTCTGTTGAGTTGTCTAATTCTGAAATTTTATTGTTAATCTTCTGGATTTCTGATTGTTGTCTCTCTGTAGATTCTTGTAGCCTATTAAGTTTATCATTATGCTCTTCTGTAATCTTTTTAAGTTCCTCTATTTCTTCGTCTGTATGTTGCTTGGCTTGGTCTGTGGTTTGCCTGGTTTCCTTCCGGATATCTTGAAGAGTTCTGTATATTAATGTTTTGTGTTCTACCTCCGAAAATTCCAAGAAATTATCTTCTTCCAGAAAATTTATTGATTCTTTATTTTGGGAGCTTGCTGAAGCCATCATGGTGTGCTTCTTTATGTGATTTGATATTGGCTGTCGCCTCTGAGCCAACAATAAGGTCTTATGTTTATTTTATGTTTGCTTTGTCCTAGCTTCTTGTTTTGTTTTGATATGCCCAAATAGGCTGCTCGTGTGAGCTAGTTTTATTATTAGTGCCTTTGAAGCTCTAACATCCTGCCACCAGGTGGTTAGAGCTTGTTACTGGGTATGTGAGCCCAGCAGTCTGTTTACGTTTCTTGTACAAATTCGCCTCAGATGTCCAGGTAGTGTCACCAAGTGTGTGGTGCAGGTTCTCACCTACAGTCCTAGACAGGCATGGGTGATTGGTGTAGGTGCAGGTATCTGGCTGCAGTATGGAGTCATGCATTGAGCCAGGCAGGGGGCTGACGTCTGCCCGAGTGTCTGGGAGGAAAACGTGTCCCTGTTCCCTAGAGAGCGTAAGTGGGTGGGTTTTGCAGCTGGACTATGAGCACCCAGTGCTGTTGACTGTAAGGACTGGGGGGCACCATTTATTCTTGGACCCCTGTGGCGAGTGGCTAGGTTGCATGGGTGGAGCCACCATTCCTCAGACCCCTGATGTGGGTAGGTGAGGACCCTGCTTAATGGGCAGAGCAGTGTCAAATGTCATGAACCTGCCACTTCACCATATAGCTGAAACAGTTGAAGTTAGACTTCAGGTATATACCCTGTTGTACTGTGGTATGAGGGCCTGTGCTGTTGAAATGGGCCCACACAGGTCTGTGCAGGGGTGAAAGGCATTCAAAGTCCGTGGACCCCTTATGCCTGTGCCTAGGCAAAGGAACTGTGCCTACTCTGAGGTCCTGGCTTAAGGGAGCTGACAGATTATTTTTTCCCTGTTTGTCAATTTGTTCCCTCTCCAAGGTCCAAGGCCAGGAGAATGGTTCAGGGTGTGTGACGTGTGCTACTTCCACCCAGGGGACTCAGCAATTGCTGAATCCAGCCGGGGACCTGGTGCAGAGTGGGGAGGGGGGAGGTAAATGGGAGAGAGGTGTTTCCCAAAGGGGTTGTTTTTTGATCCGCACAGTAGGCCAGAATCAAGTAGTTATCTCTTACCAATTGAGTGCTACTTTTCACTGGTTCTGGATGCCCGAATAGACTCTCTGCTGCTGGGTCTCTCCTCATGTGGAAAACGCCTCCCTAGTACCATTGCTTGCCTCACTGAGCATGCGAGCCACTCCAGCCTGAAGGGCGCTGGCTCCTGACAGGTCAGGTTGGGCAACTCCTGACTGCTTCCGAACCATTTCTCCCTCCGCCTGCCACTGGGTTCTTTTTCTCAACTTTGCCTTTGATGTTCAGGGCTCTACTACATAATCGATTCACTTGTTTTTTCGAGTCTTTGTTGTAAGAGGGGCCACAGGAAGCGTCTGACTACTCCACCATATTGGCCCCACCTCTATTCCTATTTTATGGAGAGTTTTTATCAGGAACGTGTGTTGGACTGTATCAAATGCCTTTTCAGGGTTGATTGTGATGATCGTATGGTTCTTTTTATTCTATTTATGTGATGGATTACATTGATAGATTTTCTAATGTTGAAATATCCTTGCATACCTGGTATGAATCCTACTTGGTCATGGTGTATTATTATTATTATTTGATTTGATGCTCAATTCTATTGGCTAGAATCTTGTTGAGAATTTTTGCATCTATATTCATGAGAGATACTGGTCTGTAATTTTCTTTTTTGGTGTTGTCTTTGCCTGTCTTTGGTATCAGGGTTATGCTTGCTTCCTGGAATGAATTCTGAAGTATCCTTTCCTTTCCTATGTTCTGAAATAGTTTGAGTAGTATTACCTCTTCAGTCTCTTCTCTTGTTATGGGTATGTTCAGATTTTCTGTCTCAGTTTGTTTAGTTTAGGTAGGTAGTGTGTTTCTAGAAATCTGTCCATTTTCTCTGAGTTCTCAAATTTGTTGAAGTACATTTTTTCATAGTATTCTGTTCTTATCCTTTTTATTTCATTTGAGTCTATTGTAATGCCCACTGTCTCATTTCTTATATGGATTGTTTGCTTCCTTTCCTGTTTTTCTTTTGTGAGTTTGGACAATGGTTTTTTGGTTTGTTGATTTTGTTGATCTTTTCAAAGAACCAACTTTTGGTCTTGTTGATTTTTTCTGTTGTTTTTCTGTTCTCTATTTCATTTATTTGTGCTCTAATAATTGTTTTTTCTTTCTTCTGGTGGATGTGGGCTTCATTTGTTGTTCTCTTTCTATTTGTTGGCATTGTAGGGTAACCTTTTGATTTTGGCCCATTCTTTTTTGATGTGTGTGTTATTGCTATAAATTGACCTCTAAGCACTGCCTTAGCTGTGTCCCAAAGGTTTTGGTGTGATGTGTTTTCATTCTCATTTGATTCTAGGAGTTTTTTATTCCTCTTTGATTTCTTCTATTACCTCATTGTTTTTAAGCAAAGTGTTATTCATTTTCCATGTAATTGATTTTTTTCCTTGATCTTCCTGTTATTGATTTCTACTTTTATGGCATTGTGATTAGAGAGAATTCTTTGTATTATTTCAGTGTTTTGGATTTTATTGAAGGTTGCTTTGTGGTCTGTTCTGGAGAATGTCCCATGTGCGTTACAAAAGAATGTATTTTGCTGCTGTTGGGTGGAGTGTTCTGTATATGTCTATGAGGTCAAGTTGGTGGAAAATTTCTAGAGACTCTTAAGTTTTATATCTAAACATTGTATAGCTTAATATACATTATGGGTTTTTTAATTGTGTTGGGAGTCCCTAGACCACCCTCAGGTTCAGCGATTTGCTAGGAGGACTGTAGGGCTCAGCATATAGTCGTACTCATGTCTATGATTTATTACAGTGAAAAGGGTACAAAGCAAATCAACAAAGGAAAAAGGCACACAGGGAAGTCTGGAGTAATCCAGGTGCAGACTTCCAAGACTCCTCTCTCTGTGGAGTCATACAGGACAGTTAATTTCTCCAGCAATGAGTTGTGACAACATGTGTGGAATGTTGTCTCCCGGGAAGGTTGCCTGAGCCTAGGAGCTCAGGTTTTTATCCATGGTCAGTCATGTAGCACCCTCTCCCTAGCACGTAAAAAAAAACTCCGGGCTCCAAGAGGGAAATCAGGTATTCAGCATAAACCACATTGTTTGTACTTACAGTTTAGGCACAGGGAACCACCCTTATCAGTTCTGGAAATGATGAGCATCCTCCCAAAATCAAGTTCCTAGATGCCAGGCAAATGCCAGCATTGCAGGTAGATCTTTCTAAGGATAACAGTCTCAGCCTGCTGTCTTAACTCTTCTTTCACATGTATATATTAATAGACCTATTTTTAATATTTTATTACCTTAGATATTCATGTATCTATTTTTAAATTGAGTCAATTTTAGTTTAATATTTTTTTACACTAAGGTGTTTTGAAAGGAGCCCTGGTGGCACAGTGGTTAAAGCGATCGCTAATAGAAAGATCGGCGGTTCGAAACCACCAGTGGCTCTGTGGGAAAAAGATGTGGCAGTCTGCTTCCATAGAGATGTACAGCTTTGGAAACTCTGGGGTCCCTA